ACCGTGTTGTTGATGGAATAACCGTTGGCCGAGAACTGCGTGATAGGTGTGGCTATCTGGCCACACTCCTGGGCGCAGGGCACGCGCTGACGACTCCAGTAGCCGCCAGCCATGCACTTCATAGGCGGCTGGGGCAGTATGTTGCTCGATCTGAAGCCGGTAGCGCAGATGAAAGTCACCTCGGTGCCAGGCGGATGGTAGCGTGCGGAGCAGTTGACCGCTTGTCCCTCATATGTGCAGGTGGGGTTGGTCGAATAGCCATGGAGCAGGTTCTTGGGGCGGCCCTCAGAGTCTTGCCAAGTGTCGCAATATTCTGTAAGACAAGGTTTTTCATTAGACACATAGAGGGTGCTGAAATATTGCACTACTCACTCACGCATGTTGGCACCACGTCGAGGCTCCACTGTTGATTAGCACAGCGGCTCGCCTTTGCGCCCTCCAAAACGTAGCCAGGCTTGCAGGAGAAGAAGACCGTTATCATGTTTATGGGCGGTTTTAGATACGTGCCGTACTTATCCTTCAATATGGGCAGCTCGTCGCCGTGAGGCAGCGGGCAACCGGACAGGCTCGTCGGCAGTACGACCGTTGGCTGGGTGGTTACGGAGGAGGTGTTGCACAGCAGCGGCGCCTCGTCGGAATTATCAAAGCAATCCGCTTTACCATTGCAAATGAGATCGCCGGCGATGCAGCCGCCGCTGGCGCATTTAAAGGCATAGCCCGGGCACTCGATGTGTCCGCAATAATTGACAGACTCGTCATAGCCGGTGCCGTCACCGCAGTCGTCGTAGCCATTGCACAGATACGTGCTCTTCTCAAGGCATATGCCGGAGGGGCACTTGAACTCCTCGTCCCTAGAGTCAATCGGAGCACTGTTCAGATCTGGCCAACCACAACACACGGACTACTCACTTGCAGTTGCCCTTCAAATTCGACTCAATCTGTCGCTTGACGTCACTTGTGCCGCAGAGAAAAACCGTCTCGTCCGAGCCATCGGCACACTCAATAATGCCATTGCAGGGCGCCGTGCCGATCACGCATGCGCCGTAGCTGCACGTGAAGTAGGGCTTAGTGCACTGATTTCGCTGCGAGACACAGATGAGGCCCGTTTCGTCCGATCCATCTGGGCAGTTCTTGGTTCCGTCGCATACCTCGAATTTCGAAATGCAGCTGCCGTTATCACACTCGAATTGGATGGCTCCGCAGGCCCCATACACTGACCCTTTTACGTAAAAGAATGATTAATTATTAAATAAAGATTAACTAAAGAAAAGAACAAATTCGGTATAATCGATTATATTATCTAATAGAATATACAAAGCGTAGATTATACAACTATAAAAGTCTGCAGCGTTTAAACCTAGAAATAAACTCGGCTTCTGCTTATGTATATTTATGATATACCAGTCATCGAATATGAAACCGATAGCAAAAACAATAACAGAGAACTTGCACTCTCTCTCTCTCTCTCTCTCTGTATCTCTCTCTCTCTCTCTCTCTCTCTCTCTCTCTCTCTCTCTCTCTCAGTGTTTCTCATACTCTCACACTCACAGACACTCTCTTCTCTTAAAGTAAAGATATTCTTGACTTGACAGACAATCACAGAGCAGGCTTTTGTATTATCACCCAAGACATGCAACAATAATATATTTAAGTGTGCTAAGACTTATACCGAACTCTAATATATTTTATAATTTACTTACTTGCACTGAAGCTTAACAGAGTCACGCAGATGCATAGTAAATGTGACTTTAGGTGCTTCGATATCATGTCAAAATTCTAAGAATCAACTACATACAATATTATATATAATAAAATATATACTATATTGCACTGTTCTTAGTTGTTGTATATATTATTACGATTTAACTAAGAGGATCGTGCAATTGGGAAGCACCGGACCCATCGACAGCACAACCAGAACTGAGTTGAAACAAATATATTAAAACAGCATTTGATATGAGAGAAGAGATTTGCAGCATACCGAAGTATAAATGCTCTAAGACTCTTTAGGGTTATGTTTCTAAGACTTTCTGAATGCTTACAAAATATTTATTTGTTCATATATAAGTATATATTTATATACATAAATGCATCTAATAAAATCTAGAATGTGTAAATAATAATTATCTTGATCATTTCATTTTGAAAATTTCAAGCATTTAAAACTCGATTTACTGTGCATTGGTAAGAGTATGAATTGATATTGCTAAGTGCTAAAACAAGTTTTCAGCAGTAGATGCTCAGCGCATCTAGAATTTTAAAGAGATTCTCAGCGCTCTTTGAGGATTTAAGAGAAGCCTCTCTTATAAATGTACTCAGCAAAAGTTTATCAATTTATGCACAAACTTTAATTTATGTATTTGCTCAAATGTGAACAATAAAAACAACAAAATTTTACGATAAATAAATAATAGTAAATACAGATATTCAGTTATTTCATAGTCTTCAACTATAACGTACCCACATATTTGAAAATATTTATTGCATTTAATTTATTTATAAAATCAGAAACTGTTTAAATGCATTTCACACATTTTATATAAATGCAAACTATCGATATGAACCAACATGCGCTGAACGATGAATGCCATTTATGCAATGTGGATGAACTAGTTGGTGGCGCTACCTACCGGCCAGTAGACCAACTAAGCACACTGACATTATACAGCAGTCAGCTATTGCTAGCCTGTGACAAGTTAAGCGAGCGTATTGAGCACTAGATGGCGCTATCGTGTGCCGCCATCTGTGTGCCAGTTTTGAAATGATTCAAAAATTCTTGAGTTTTCAATTAAATTTTTATTTATTTTATTTTGTTTACCACATTCTCACTGGTTGTTTTTCCATTTATTTAAAGTACGTATATTTTATATTGATAATTTACAACTTACGGCTCTAACATAGAATGGCGTTAAATTAGAATTACATAGTATACGAGTACAAACGAATGGATTACCCAACACGAAATGACAATAGACGTTTCGCTCTCTGAATTGTGTGTTTTTTATTTATTTATTTTCTTTTTCGGGTATTGCTTGCTCCGTTTATACATGAGTTAGGTTTGGATTAGAAAAAACATTATTAATGTCAATTAGGTTGTGAGGCTCTGGTGAGGGGTCAAGTAAAGAAAGCCACAAGAATGTACAATAATCGTAATGTAGTGTTCTATTAATACATATACATACACACACACACACACACTTATGTATGTGTATTACATAAGTAAGTAGTAGGTAAGTTTGTAGAGTGAAATAAATTCTAACGCTGACGCGCTCCGTTCCATTTTTTACGTATATCCGTTGCTACGACAATTCACATTTAATTCATTAAGTATTGTATTTTTAGCATCTGATTTATTATTATTATTATTATTATTATTTTTTTTTTTTTTTTTTTTTAAATTTTGTTTTTGTTATTTTTTTAGGGGAGTGGGGTGGGGGGCTGGTTGGTGCTGGGCCTCTCTTAGCCAAGTATGCCGCGCTTCTTCTTCATCTTTCTCATTGTATATATATTTACGTATATGTTTCATTTAAAATCTATAACATTTAACTTATCTCTTACGTAATGTCATCTCTTTACCTTTTCTTTTCTCTTATTTTTCTTGCAAATATTCTCTTATTGTTGTTCATTTATATTCGGTTTGCATGTAAAATACATGAATATAAATATATATTTATTTATATATATGTATGTATATATAGAGATTTATGTATATATATTTATCTGTTGAACCTTATGCGCTAATTACGTATACATCTTGTGAAGGTTGCTTGGTTAGCCCTTAAATGAATCGAACTGAAAATAGTATTTCGAGCACAGCTCGGTTGCGCTATCGATAGTCGATGATCGATTATGTTATCGGTCTGGGTAGCATCTCTATTTAACTTACGAACAATTAACGAAAACGAGATCAAAAGCAATTTCGCATGCACAATAAACGGGGACGCGAGGACGACCCGATAATATCGAAGAACTCTAAGCTCTATAATTCTAGGTGGAGACGAAAGGAAACAACAAAAATTGCAACTAAAATAATAACACAATTCATTCATTCGTTTTTCTTTGATTTTTTTTTTTTTAGATTTTTTCAAAACCAATAATTTATTTGTTTTGCCGTAGCAAAAGTTATGTTTTTGTTTTTCTGCTTTGTTGTTGTCAGATAATCTCATAAACGCTTTTCATTAAACTAAACATAATAAAAATAGGATTTAATTTAGTTTAAAAAAACTTTAAAAATTACTTAAAGAAAACAGCTTCACGTTTGTTGTTGTTTGTTTGTGGTTTGTTGTTTGTTGTTTGTGTTGTTGTTGCACGCTTAAAAAGCCTTAGACGAAAACTAAACAAATTAATTTAAAATTAAACAAAGTTAACTAAAATTGCATTAATTTTAAGCACGAACTATACACATTGTTTTTATTATAATAATTCTCTCGTTTGAAGTTATTTATTTACCTTTCTATTATTCATTTTTCGTTTTTATTTTTATTTATATATGTATATATATATATATATATATATATATTTTTTTTTTTAAATATACTTTTACTTTGCTAACAAATTCTATTTATATTTAAGTTAAATTTTCAATAGTTTTGTTTTAAGTATTTTTATTTTAATTTTTAATTATTTACTTTTTTAGTGTTGAATTTCAATTGGTTTAAAAACTCGCCTTACAAAAATTCATATCAACAGAATTTAATAATTACCCTTTAACATTTTGAGTATTTATTTTGATTTTCGAAACTCTTTTTTATTCGAATGAAAATAATATAATTTAAACATAGCAGTAAGCAACAAAGGGGATTTTTTTTTAAATTTGTTTTTGTTTTCTCTTTTTTTTTTCATATTTGTTTCGTGTGGGACAGGGACAACATGTGAACAGAATTTTTGAAAAATAAATTTGTTGCTCGTTTTAAACATAAATCTTACGCGGGCAAACAATTTTCAAATTTAAGTTTTAGTTTGCTTCTAACACTCTTTGTGGAATTTAAATTAAATTTGTATTTTGTATTCGTATGCATAAAGTTACGTATGTATGTATCTAGGTAAGTAGATTTCTTGTGTTCTTTCAACTACTTTTATATTCAATTTGTATTTTTTAGTTTTTTGTTTTTGTTTTTATTTTTTGTTTTTATTTTCTTTTTGTTTTGTTTTTCATTTACTTAGAGTCTACGAAATTTATTTGTAATTTTTGTTGCCGTTTGCTGCTTTACGTATTTTCGGTTGCTTTTCAAACAATTTGAAATAGTTGCTTTATATATACCATACAATATCAATATGATTATTGAATTATCGAATTAATTTAAGTTAAGTAAATGGTTTATTTGTTACAATATTGTTGCACTGGATGGGATGCAGCAAGTTGAATTCGTTCTAGTTCTGATCTAAATGCCCGCCCTGCACAGCCGCCGCCGCGGCCGCTGCTGCCGCTGCCTTTTGCGCCTGCGCTTGCTTCTCCTGCTCGTTGAGTTCCTTGATCGCCTGGATCTCCTTTTTCAACTTCATTCGTCGATTCTGGAACCAGATCTTAATTTGTCGCTCTGTCAAACACAGCGCGTGCGCCATCTCGATTCTCCGTCTGCGGGTCAGATAGTGATTCGTGTGGAACTCCTTCTCCAGCTCGAGCGTCTGGTAGCGGGTGTATGTCTGTCGGCCGCGTCTCCTCAGACCATTTGTGCCTGTTGAACACAAGTGAAATAATAAATTAGTCAAGTTTCAATGGACATTGAATGCTAAATTCGAAATTTTTAGATGCATTGACAAAGCAAGAAAGTTTTTTTTAAAGCTATAACACTGAAATACCCTATACTCTAGTTATGTAGGGTATTCAAATGCATTGACTAACCAAGTCAGCGAGTGTGGGTTCAATTGCCTCATTTGGGTCGTTTATAAACATTTCAACAGCCATATTAAATTGAAAAATCATTTCGCAAAATTTGCAACAAAGATCATTTGTTTTTTGATGTCTTTTGTTTTTGTTGTTGTTGTTGTGCTGTTTTTTTTTTTTTTTTGGTCGTTGTCAAAAACATAAATATAAATTTTTCAGCAACGATCAGCAACATTTTGACGTAGGCTGGCAACAAGAAACCCAAACAAAACACAACAGCAAAAAAATACATTTCATTTTTATGGCCAATGGCTGCTGGCTCTTAGCTCTTAGCTCTTAGCTCTCAGCTCTTGGCTCTTAGCAGTTGCCTGTTGGCAAGCCCGTGGCTTGCAGTTGCAGTTGCAGTTGCTGTAGCTTTGCTTGTTGTTGTATCTGTTTCTTGGGCGCAGAGATCGTTACTTTAAATTGAACGTTTGCTGCTGTGCTGCCGCCAAGCGACGTTCAAGCGGCTGTCAGTTGAGCTGCATGTTGCATGCCGCATGCCGCATGCCGCACGCTGCATTCGGCATATGCTGACTGGCAGCCTTTCAGTTGTCTGCCACTTAAATTGCAGTTATGCCATTGTAATGCAACTTTAATTGGCCAACCACAAAAGTCGCCAACAGCACATGGAATGTGTTTGCGCTTTAACAGTTCTCTCTCTCTCTCTCTCTCTCTCTATATCATTCTCTCTACCTCTCTCTGTCTCTCATTTTGTAGGCTTTGCTATTCTGTCGTGTTAATCTCTGATTTTAAATATTTATGAAGTTTAATTTGCCTCAAGTGCAATAACTCAATTTTATGTGCACACAGACACACTCACACACACACATACACATGCACACACACGCATTCTCGACTGCATTATGCACAATCAGAAGAGCACAAGAGCTGGAGAGATTTTATCAGCTACTCCACTCTCCATTCGACCTGCTGCCGATGGACAATGTTAAGTAACTTTCGCATTTTATTGGGGCGGTTTGAGTCTGGGCCTTGCCTGAGCAGCCATGGCCCGGCCTGGCAAAATGTTAAGTTAAATATTATGAGCATTTATTATGTTATAAATTTGGCCTAAAGGTATTAACAAATTTATGCCGACACGAAAGTCATAAAGTGAAAACGCATTTATCTTTCACATTGGCCCATGTACGAGTATGCCAGCCAGCGAGCCTGTATGTATCTGAGCTGTCTTCGTTTGTGTGCACGAGCCTGTGCATCTGTATGTGTGCATGTGCCCGGACACACGTTAAATAAATGGCGAGAAAATTTTATAGACAATAAAAATGATATGAAAATAAAATATCCACCATGCAACAAAGAAATTATCTACTTAAATGCGCAGACAAAATAAATAATTTCTTATTTTGTTTTATATTTTATACAAACATTTATTTAATTGGCAACAGCGCACATCGACAACAAAATATATAAGCATTTACATACATTTTATGGAAATTTGTGCATTTTGTTCCTTATCAGATATGGGAGGAAGAGACATGTCGTCAGATTGATGGCATAATAACAGTTACTTATCAGAGCATTGTGATATATATATATTATGTTATAGTCATGCTAGAGCGTGTGGGACAATGAAAACATAATTTAAGCCATTTCACAGCATTTAAACTATCTAACATATGTTGAGTTATCATTGATTTACTTAGAGCCAATCAAATGTGAAATCTCAGCTGAATAGATGGATAAATAATTGCATTTCTGTTATATTTATTTTATTTTTGTATTTATTTATTTATTTTTTATTACTTGAATAAACTAAGAATTCTTTCGTTCAATCATTTATATTGTTATCTAAATTTATTATTATTTATTTTATCATTCATTGTTCAAAAATACAATATTACAACATATATGCACTTAATATTTTCTCACAGCTCACACACAGCATATTTTCAATTCAAGTTTATGCTCCAACATTCTCAAGTTCCTTGACTCCCCTCGTGCTGTCTTCGAATGCAAAAAACACAAATGAAATGGCAAGCAGTAAGCGCATAAATAAATTTATTTAGCACTAAACCTGTTTGCTGATTAACTTAAGTCTCAGCGCTTCACTTGGCCAGCCCCCTCGGCCTTTCTCTAGCGCCATCTCTTTCACTCGACTATTCGCTGGCTCACTCACTCACGCGCTGGCTGGCTGGCTGGCTGACTGCTTGGTTGGTTGCTTGGAGTCCTGGCGCATGTCCTGTGCCACTGGAATACATCACGCTGAGGTTAGCAAAAGTTTCATTTTATTTAGGAGGCAACCGGCAAGCAGGCGGCTCCCGAGTCGCTTCCTGCCTGTACGTGCGTTGAGCTCAACAATTTTAAATGGAATTTGTCACGCGCCTGCCACAGAGCCCCCAGCACCGCTGACCCCTAATACTACCCCTACAATACAGATATATATATATTTATATATATCTGTATGTACAGATATATATATGCAAAAATAAACTTTTTACCAAAGTTTGCTTCTATATATTTTTTTTTCAGCTTTGGCTTATTTTTTTTTAGGGGCTCAGTTTTTTCTTCAATGCTGGCCAAGTTTTAAATTTATTATGCGAAAAAGTGCGAAATTCATTTTGCTGCCGCGCTCTTCTTCTTCTTCCTTTGCTGTTGCTGCCACGTCTCCTGCTGCGCCGCGCCATTTTCTTTTGTAGACTTTCGGAGCATTTTTGTGTATTTCTAAGTACATAATTTAAATGCTGGCATGTGGAATAGAGATAGGGATAGGGATAGGGCTAGAGATAGAGATAGTGATAGGGGGCACAGCGGGGCAGGACTTCAACTAGACAATAAAACTTTCTATGGCAAGGCGCGAAATTTTTTTAGATTATTTAGACGAGTGCCAGCATTAGAGCGAAGAGGAAATGCGAGGTTGGGGAGCGCCATTGTCGACTGGAGTTTTAGGGGCGCACTCGTATATCTATCTGCCTTTGAGATACAATTTCAAGGTTCTGTCTACGCGGCTGATGGCTGATTTTGGTTCTCATTTGAGCGCGGGGCGCGGAAGCAGCGCTACTTGCCGGGTAGCAGCTGCGCCCATACGGCGTACGCCCAGTACGTGTTGTATTTTTTAACTTAAATTCCTGCGGGATTTAAAGTTTTGACAGTTTACGTGTTTGCCTGTGCAGCGAACTTTGAACCAAGCCCGAGCGCCCAAAAGGCAAGAAAGAAAGATACAAAAAGAAAAAAGAAAGAAAAAAGATGTAGAGCCCATGTCTTTGGCCAACTGCCACACACAGTAGCTACATCTCACTCACTCTGCTGTCGTGTGCCTCTCTCTCTCACTCTCTCTGTTTGTATCCCACCCCTGGTCGAGACGTTGCCAATAAATCTCCAGGTGACGGTGACTCCATGTTGCATGCGGCGCATCGTGTGATCTATGCTTCTATTATAACTATTTATATACACAGATACACGACTACAGATACAGATACAGACACAGACAGACACACGCACCAGCAGTGCGCATGTGTGTGCCATATAAACAGTTATATACAGGCTGGCGGGCAACTACTTATATCTAATTCGATTTCCCAGCTCCCAATGCCAATGGCTCCCCTAAACGCTACCTGGACACCTCCTCTCCTCTCCTCTCCACCCCCTTGCTTTAATTTATGTTTTGTTTTGTCGTCGCTGTTGCCTTTGCCGGCACATAAAATTGTCACGCACGCGCCCGCCACTGGCCCAAAAACCCGAGAAGAATCCATCGCGGAACACGTCTCGACCAGGGTCTGAGAGTACTTTGATAATCAGGCAACGGTTTCGGTGCGTAATTCGCGGGAATTACAAACGCTTAGCTGGAAAAGGGTTGAGCAGAGCAGCCATAGTTGAGTTATAGAAGATAAGAGATCAGAACAGAGATTATAAGAAAAGTTATCGAATCTACTTGAATTGAATTCTGGTTCTGCAGAGATTATAGAATAAATATTTATATTCCGACTAAAATGAGATTCTTATATAAATATTCAAATTCATTTTTAATTAGCTATTATTGTCTGCTTTTTGCATTTCTATACAAATTATGATTTGAGTCGAGCACATAAATTAATAGAAAGACAACTTCAGTCGTTCGCTTCAGCGGGTCAATGGGGATTCTCGTCCTGCTGCCTCGCCAACTGGACTCAAGGCCAGGCGCAGAAGCTGTGCGAAAGCTGCTCAGCCGGAAATGGTTTGACAGAAACCCTTTATTGCCATGAGGCTCGCACACATACAAACAAAATACGAAATCAATACAAAATCGATTAATTGAGTGTGTGATGGCCCGCCCCCCTTCCCTTTGCCCATTCCGATTGCTACAACGCACGCATTTTGTTCGCAATTTAATTAAATCTATTCTCGTGCGTGTCGCTCGTGGGCGTGTTTTCACCTTATAAGGTGTACATATGTATGTGTATATGTGTACATGGCTAGAGTGTCGATAAAACAATTAAAGAGCGACGCACAAAAGCCGCAGAAAATCAAGCCGAAAGCTGATTGCGAGACGGAAAACTAATTTTCCGCACTGCCAATCGAGTCGCACTAAATCTGTCAATTAAATTGGCCGCAGGGAGTGTGATTCCCGGTGCGTATGGAACGGGTGGGTGGCTAAGTGGCTGAGTGGCTGAGTGGCTCAGTGGCTGAGTGGGTGGGGCTAGCCGCTGTTTCCTCAGACGTGATTATGGTCTATGCCTATGCCGATGTCTCCCTACTGAATATTGATGTTTGCGGTGGCAAATGCGCAATTGAGTTGCAATTGCGAACACGAACGCAATCTTCGAGATACACGATGTCGCCTGTATGCGTGTGTGTGTGTGTGTGTGTGTGTGTATG